CGGCGCGGACGCCCGGGGCCCCGCCCCCCGCGGCTCCACCCCCCGCCCCGCTGGCCGCGGAGGCCCCCTCCCCGCCCGCCCCTCCCTAGGGCCTCGCCTTCCCGACTGGAAAGGCAAACTCCAGCCTCCAGGTGGGCAAGAGCTGCACAACGTAGAACTCCCAACACCTTTCGCCTCTGCAGCTGTTACCAGAGGCTCCCGGAGGGTTGGCAACTGTGGAGTAAGGAACGACCCGAGGGGTCACTGTCAGCCGGGACCGGCTGTGTAAATGACAAGTGACGGTCTGCTTGGGAGTACTACACAGCCAGCAACAGAACAGAGGGCTGCGCGGGGCGGGGGCACCGAGGGCAGGTCCCACACCACTGTAGGGTCGACAAAGCAAACTGCAGAACAGACTGACACCTTGTGGGTAAGACCTGCAAGGGACTTCAGCTGAGCGTCTGTATCCGTTTCTGCAAAATGGGGGTAATAGTAGATACCATATAGGATTGTTGTGGGGACTCACTGACTGTAAAGGGCTTAAAATAGGACCTGGCTCAGAGAAAGCTCACCTAAGGGTTAAACAGATCCGTGTGGATCGCCTCCCAGTCACCCTCCCCTCCCCTTTCAAACTCAACTCGGCCCTTTTTACCCTCCCCTCTGCCATTCTGACCCCTCTTCAGTTCATCCAACACATAGCAGCCAAAGGGAGCTTTTAAAATATAAAACAGGGTATGTCACTGCTATCTCAGGCTCACGAGTGAGTCCTTGTCCCCTGAATAAACCCCAACACTGAACTTCTCTCCACTCTAGCCCTCACGTCACAACTCCACACTGGTTTCTCTGAGGTCCTCTGTGCCCCTCTCTCTCCTGCCCTGGGGCCTTTGACCACAATGTCCTGTCTGCTAAGTGGGTTCTTATTTTCCTCCTCAGGTAACTATCCTACAGCTCTCAGCTCAAGCATCACTCCTTCCAGGAAACCCTCTGATCTTCCCATTTGTGTAAGTCTCTTCCAACAGATCCCAAGAGTCCCATGAGGGCAGGGAATGTGTCCCCAGAACCTGAAAGAACCTGACACATAATCAGCCTGTTGTAATTATTTGTTCCATATTTATAAATGCCCAGAAACATCTGGAAGGAACACAGCAATCAGAGTGGCCTCTCTGGGACTGAGAAAGGGAGGGGAGTTCACTTACCACTTCACTGGATCAGTTTTTAAGTTAAGATAAAAATGGTGATGAAGTCTACCTTTCTTGTGGCTGGGAGGCTCAAATGAAATGAAACCAAGCAGGGGCAGGGAGCGGGGAAGTAGACAAGGGGTGTTTTCCCAGCAACCTTTACCTCTCCCTCTCTCAGATTTGCTCCCAGAACACAGTCCCAAAACCCAGCCCAAACACCATCAAAATATTTATTAAAACCAAAGCAAGAGGGAACAGAGCAGTTAGGAAGGCAAATCAAAGTGCAGATTGGAGGGTGGGGCAGAGCAAGAAGTGGGGTAGAGGGGGCACTTCAAATGCCACAGGAGGGGCCCCTGTGGTCTGGGCTAGGAACAGCCCTTCACCCACCCCTCCTGCCCACCCTGTCAGTGAAGGTCCCCCACTCACCTCTCCCATCTCACATCCATCCTGGGGGGCAGATGGGGTCCTGCAGTGACCCCCTGGGAAGGGACCACCCCCTCAATCCACCCATGGCTGTCAGTCAGTCAGTCTGTCTCCCTCCCTCAATATCCCAATAAATAAACCGCTCAGGCCTCAGCTCCTTCGGAGTGGGGCAAATTACAGCTTAGGGACCCCCGCCCTCGCTCAGGCGTATAGGGAGTTGGGGCATCAGTCCCACATCCTTCCTACCCTTAGCTGGTGCCCCAGGCTTGCCAAAGAGGCCTTGATAAATAAATAACGCTCCATTAAAGCTTCGATCAGAAAAACCTTTTAAGACGACAGAAGTGCTCTCGCTGTCCTGCAAACAAGCAGGCCAAGGCCTCTCCACCTGGCCTGGTCAGCACGCAGGATTCTGGGGGCAGGTGGCCACCCTGGGCCTCATGGGGCCCCTGGAGCAAGGAGACCAAAAGTGCAGTTAGAGCCCCCACCACGCGCACACATGGACTCATGCACACACACGTGGACACACTGGGGCGTGTTTTCAGTGCACGCACAGATGTGTTCACCTTCATTCCCCGGTACATGCACACACACATGCTCACACACCACTCACCCCGTGTACACACATGTTGGGTGCTGGGTGCATGCACATACACACCACAAACAGAATCCTTCCCTTCCTGGCTTGCTCAGCCTCCTGGCCATAGCCAGACTCCAGAGCTAGAAGCTTCCGGAGATAGGGGAGATAGGGTATAAATTAAACATTTCCAATCGGGCTGGGGGGACGGCCAGGGGCAGGGGGCTCCAGGGCTGCAGAGACAGGGTGGGATCTCAGGAGGCCCTGGTCCCCCGAAGCCCCGTCAGAAATCCAAGGGGGTAAGGTCCCCAAAGTCACAGTCGAAGAGGTCTTTGATGCCCTCACCCTCCTCAAGGCCAAAGTGGTAGTCGAGGGCCTCGTGGGGAGGGGACAGGCTGATGAACTCCTCAGGGAGGAGGCCGGAGAAGTCCTCCCGCACATGCTCCAGGAGCGAGTCGGCCGCCACCAGCGGGGACAGGCGGTCCTCGTCCACAGGGGCCCGCAGGCCACCCATCCGGGAAAGCAGAGGTTCTGGGGAGATGGGGGAGCATCACAGGCCGGGGACGGCCCGCGGGGAGGGCAGAGGGGGCTGTCACGCCTGCCCACCCAGCTGGGAGAGGAGCCCAGACCCACCCCACCCAGCCACCCACCCTTCACCCACCTTGCTCCAGGCTGAGCAGGGACTGGCTGGGATCCGCAGCAGGGGATGAGGAGGGAGATGACGGTGGTGGCACTGTGGTAGCAGGGTCAACTGCCCTGTCCTCCTCCCCAGAAGCTGTCCCCTGGGATGAGGTCTTCCCAGGGCTGATCCCGCCTGCACTCTCCTCAGGGCACAGGAAAACGTCAATGGGGCCTTGTTTGCTCTTAAGGGAGATCTGAAAGGTCTGGGTGGAGGCAGCAGGCAGGGTATATTGAGGCTCAGCTGACCACCAGCCCACCCCAGCCTGTCCTGGTCAGGTCTGGAGTCCCGAGTCTCACCTCTGAGGAGTCTATGGCTTGGAGCTGGGTCTCTGGAGGAGCCTTAATCACCATAACCATCTGCTCTGCAGGGTCTGCGATGCTACGAAGGTCCTGGCAGGTCACATAGGCCAGGGTTGGTGGAGTCAAGGACCACGTGATCTGTGACCTCTGGGGCCACCCACCCAGAGGATTCATAAGAGCCCACACCTACCTAGTCTCTCTTGTCCTCTCCATCCCCCACCCCAGGGCCTGGCACATAGTTGGTGCTTGGGCCTATCTCACACCTTGAGCCCCAATTTCCACATCTGTACAGTGAGACCATTCTACCCATCTAATCCCAAAGTAATGATGGTTGCCTGCAATAATTTCATGTAAGTTATGTAAGACAACTCCAGGCCTGGTGCTGAGAATTTATTCTGACCCATGATCTTGGTGTCAATTGGTGGCTGTCTCCAAAACTTTTAAACATAATTTGGGTATTTACTAACAAAACAAAACAAAACAAAACAAACCCCTTATTTGAAAATAAAGTTTCTAGGGGTGCCTGGCTGGCTCAGTCAGTGGAGTGTGCAACTCTTAGTCTCGGGGTTTTGAGTTCAAGCCCCATGTTGGATGCAGAGACTACTTAAAAATAAAATCTTAAAAATAAGTTACTATTTTTCTAGATGAAAGAAACAAGAACTTAGATCTCTAGCTATGAAGCTATGGCCATGTACTGAATCACTACCAAATAAATGTTTACTATTGCTTGTACTAAGTTTTCTTGTTTTAATCTGTGCAATTTCAGAATTGATTACTTTCCCCTTTTACAGATGAAGCTGAGGCTCAGAGAGGTTAAGTAACTTGTCCAGCATAACAACAAGTAAATGCTGAGCCCAGAACTTGCATCCAAAGCCAGAGCCCTCTCCTGAATCCAGGGCCCAGGGTAACCTCACAGTCCCACTTGGATGGGACGCCCACCCGCCAGTCCTGTCCTCCATGGGGGCCATCCCAAAGATCCAAGGATATCGCTGGCTGTCAGAGTCCTCAGAAAGCAGCCGCAGCTGGGCGGTACAGATATGGATGAGGTGGTCCAGCTGCCGCTCACTCTCCTGCAGTTGCCGGAGGTCCTGGGTCAGTCCTTCAAGCCGCCCACTGATCCCCACTGCTGCATGGCTGCCTCTGCAGGAGGCAAAGAGAGGGCTTGTAGCTCCTGGCCCAGGAGCCCGGACCCTCAGCACCCAGTCTGTTGCTGCCTGTTCTGTGAGATCTAAGTGAGCCCTTGTCCCTCTCTGGGTCTGGCTTCTCACTGGGAAGCAGCAGAGAGCTGAACTGGGCTCCAAGTCAGACTGGCAGGGGTCTAAAGTTGGGCCTGAAAGTCTGTAAACACCAGCATATCCCTCACAGGGAGCAGGATAAGTAAATGATGGTGCAGGCATGCTGTGGAATACTATAAAGTTGTATAAAAGGATGAGAATGCATCGGATGTACAGGCGTGGAAGCACTTCCAAGACATGTGGTCAAGTAAAAAGGAAAAAAATGATGCAGAATGGAATCATCTGCTAAAAACTGAAAAGGCAGATGTGTCAATGAGAGAGGAGTAGGATGGCCGGGGGGGAGAGGAGAGGAGAAAAATAAAACAAGAATTAACAAGAACAAAGCAGATGTGTTAGACAATCCCATTGATGGCAACAGAGGGCAGAAGAGTGATCACCTAACGGTGTGAGGGGTGGGCAACAACTGGGAAGCAGCACAGGGAACTTTCTGTGGTGCTGGGTGTGTTCTTTATCCTGATCTGGATGGTGGCTCCCCAGGCAAAGAAATACATGAAGGTGCATTAAGCTGCATATGTGAGATCTGTGTACCTTCCTCTACTCCCTAAGCCCCAGTTTCCCCAGCTATATGACAAGGATGCGGGCAGCCACGGTGGGTATTGCTCTCAGCTCCTCCAGGCTGGTCCAGCCCTGTGCCTCAGTCTCTGCCTGCCCTCCTGTTTGGCTGGTACCTACAGCCACTGGATGTGATTCTTGGACTTCTTGGCAATGAGCTGGATGCCCTCGAGGACATTGGTGATGTCATAGATGCGCCGTTTCTGCACCTTCAGCACCTCAGCCGCCCAGTTCAGATCAACAACACCATCAGCTGAGCGGCTCAGCAGCTCCAGGAAGCGTTTGGTGGTCAGATTCAGCGATGTCTCATAGCGTGACTTCTCCCCTGGGGATTTCACACCTGGGGGTCCAGGCGAGGTGGCTCCCTCAGCAACCCCCCACCCCAGGCAGGCCAGCCTTCCTGGCAATGCAGGGCAGAGGGATAGGGGTGGGAGGGATAGATGGCTCCTTCCCCTTGGCAAAGCTGACGGGGAGGCCCTGGGGCTGCCGCCTGCCAACCACATGGCATTCCTTTTCTGGCTGGGGAACTCCCCACCCCCCAGGGTTTGGAAAGCCATGCCGGGCGGCCACTCCAGCTGCCCCTCGGGGCCTCCAGAGGCCTGGCTCAGGTCCAGGCCTGACAGCCAGAGCTCACTTTGCAAGCATATTTGTCTGTCCACACCCCCAACTTGGGCCGGGTCAGGGGGCCTGCCCCAGCCCAAGTTCTGTGGGTACCTTTTCCTGGGTGGCGGCCTCTGCCCCGGGCTGGCCCGCTGCTCTCGGCCAGGTACTGATGGTCAGTTTCCAGGTCCAACCTCCGTTTTACCTGTGGTAGAAACAATGGGATGATGCCCAATAACCAGAAGTGAGGCCAGAATAGACCTAATTTAGGGCTTGGTGCTCCTGGGCCACCCCTGCCCCACTTTCTCTACCAGGCATTCTAAGTGTGTGAGGGATCCCAGGGGACACAATCCTACCACACAGGACAGATCACTCAAGTGGAGGGCAGAAGACCCGAGTTCAAGTTCTAGCTCCACTACTATCTCCCTGGGGGGCCTGTGGTGGTTTAAAAATATGTCTGCAAATTTCTTTTTTTTTTTTTTATTTATTTTGAGAGAGCGCGTGCGCACACGGGGAGCACGCATGCACACACACATGCACAAGTAGGGGAGGGGCAGAGACGGAGAATTCCAAACAGGCTCCACGCTGTCAGAGCGGAGCCCGAAGTGGGGCTCAATCCCACGCACAGTGAGATCATGACCTGAGCAAAAGTCAAGTTGCTTAACCGACTGAGCCACCCGGGCGCCCCTGTCTGCATATTTCTTGGTACTCTTCCTTTCGAAAAACAGGGCCTAATTCTCTTCCCCTTGAATATAGTTCTGATCTGGTATCTTGCTTCTAATGAGCAGCGTGATGGAAGTGGTGACCAGTCACTTCTCAGACGGGGTCCAAGATGCACTGGAGCTTCCTCTTTGTTCTCTGAATTGGACCATTCACTCTGGGGACCGCTGCTGCCATGTCACACAGACCCACGGGGACAAGGAACTGAGGCTTCCTGCAGTAGCACCACCGGTGAGCCTGGGAACAGGTCCTCCAACCCTCGTCATGCCTTCTGATGATTGCAACCTGGCCGGACACTTGGGCTGCAACCTCAGAACAGATCCTGAGGCAGAGGCACTGAGCTAAGTCTCCTCTGAATTCCTACCCCACCAGAACTGTGTGATAATAAATGCTTGTTTTTTTTTTTTT